GGCCCGAGGGTGCGGCCGCCCTGGGAGCCCAGACGGTGATGGCTGCAGGGCGCGGAGCCCCCAAGTTCTCACGGGCTGCTGGAGCCTGGCTGGGTTTTGTTTTGGTTTTTGTTTGTTTTAGACCTATACGATGCCCCGCGGCTTTGTTATTTTTAATGGGGTGGGGGCGACAACGGATTTGGGGTATTTGCAAGTTTAGAACAGGAAAAAGCATTTTCTCATTTTCTCCCAGCATCTTTTTTTTTTGCTTCAGGACAGAAATGATCCCCGTGTACTGTGTGTGGCTGTGTATTGCTCTCCGCTAAGGGAAGACTGCATTTTCAAAGTTGGGAGACAGCTTCCAGTCAGCTTCCAGTAGCAGTGCTGGGTGATTTTGTTTTCTCTGCTCCTCTCTCATCTTTTTCCTTTCTCTTTCCTTAACGCGTGAAATTGTAGCCTTGTGTGAACCCGCACCCTGCCAGGGAGTTGTTTTAAGACTTTGAAATGTATTTATTAGTCCCTTTCAATATTGCTAACTGAAACAGTGACCGTCTGTATTTTTCAGTGTATCTGGATGTGATGGCTGACACATGCTCATATGAGAGGGAGGTCTTTTACAGGGGTTGGACCAAACTGAATAATACTTGGTCTCTGCCGGTGTTCATTGCTGGCTCTGAAAGTTTCGTGTATATTTTAGTATTTTTGACTGAGAACATTTAAGGAGTTTTCATCCTTGCATTTGGGTTTGCTGATGAATTTAAAACCGAAATAGAAATTTTAAAAATATTATTTAATGAATATTGTCAGATCCCTTGTGTCTACAGGTTATTCGACCATGACGTTGATTCTGTGTGTTGTGGTTCACCTGACGGCATGCCTTAACCCCATGGTCATTAGACAGGAAGCAATTTTGAGTTGTTGGTCTTTTATGAATAAACATATCAATGTGTATTTTTACACTTTAAAAATAGAACCTGGGACACTTTCAAGACTAAGAATGGGAACTAAGTATTGGACATTTTTCTGCCATTACCACATACTCCTGGAGATTGGGTGAATTCTGTTTTCTTTCAAGCATGTTATTTAAGTTGAGTGGCTTGGTTATTAGTTTCTTTACCTCGCTTACTAGTTTAATCTGGTTTATCGAAGGCGTTACTTACTGAAGCTGTCCTGGACCAGAGGCAGTGAGCTATACTATTGTGTCATCTCAGTCACTTCTCAAAGGACACATTTCACATGTGTTCACTGGCAATGTGGACATCCACGGGCAAGGAGATGTTAATGACTTGCTGAGGACTTGTAACTGTTAACTCAAGTTGGATTCAAGGCAAGATCCCTCTGTCCCAAACAGGCATGCTTTTCTCTCTAGAACACATTTGTTTAGTCCTAGGCTCAAAGAGCAATCTTCAGCTACTCATTCATGTATACATATATTTCCTAGACATGTCAGAAACCTGTGCTGATTTTTCTGGTGTGATTGGTACCACTTACCGGTATTACCATGTACAGCCAACCATCAGGCACTGCCTCCCTGGCATCCCTAGATCCATGCCCCCTGTCTAGGGCACAATTTACTTTGTTGGCATTAAGTACGTAGCGATGACTTAACTGTGCTTTCAAACTAATGCCTCTGTTTTGACATGGGCTCCGGAGAAACAAACATAACGACTCTGGAAAGGTGAAAACAGGATAGCAATCAACTCTACACTTGGTGGGGCTCCTCTGTAATCCCAGCTCCAGCAGCTGAGGCAGGAGGGTGGTAAGAGGGGATCTCTCCTGGGCTACATAGCAAGCACCTGTCTCTCAACAACAAAACTGGATGGCAGCCTGCTTTCTAATGTGGGAACTCTTTGCCGTCTGTCATGTGGTAAGCCAGGAGAGGTTCTCATATCTGTTTTCCTTGCCACCACTCTCTTTCTCTGAAGCTTCTGTGTGTCTATGGGTCCTTTACGTTGTTATGTAAATACTCTGTTTTGTCTACCCTAAATCACATTTTTTCCCTCAATGTGTAGTGTTCTTCCTCAGTTATTGACCTATTTCTTTTCTAAAATAATTTTTTGTCATTTTAAATTACCCATGTTTCTGGACGCTTGAGTGCCAGGGCCTAGGGAGGTTCGAAGCTTCAGATACCCTGAAGGTAGAATTATTACAAGCCTTTGTGAGGCACATGGGTGTTGGGAACTGCACTTGTGTTGTCTTTGAGAGCAGTGTGCTCTCTGAAGAACTGAGCCATTTTCTCTCCAGGCACTATAATCTTATTTGATCTTTATTGAGAAGGCCAATGTTCCTTGTCAACTGGATGAACCTGGGTAGAGAAACCTGAAGAATTTTATTCATCAGTTTGGCCTTTGGGCATGTCTGAGGGACATTTTCTTGATTGCTAACTGATGTAGGAGGGCCTAACCCACTGTGGCCGCTATTCATAGGCAAATAAGCCTGGGCTGTGTGAGAAAGGTAGCAGAAAGAGAGCCTGAGAGCAAGCTGCTGTTCTCTGTGGTCTCTGCTTCAGTTCCAGCATGAGCTCCTGCCCTGACTTCCCTCAGTGATGAACTGTGACCTGGAAGTGTAAGCCAAATAAACCCTTGCTTTGGGGCAGTGTTTTAGCCCATCAATAGACAAGCAAACTAGGATAGCATATTTAAGAAACAAAAACCCAAACAAACAAAAAACCTTTCATTACACTACATTGTGTGTGTATCTGTGTGTGTGTGTGTGTGTGTGTGTGTGTGTGTGTGTACATGTGTGCACATGTGTGCATGTGCATATGCATGTGTGTGAGTGAATGCACACCTGTGGCTGTCACAGAACAATTTGCAGGAGTCATTTCCTTTGGTCCTAGGGTTAGAACTTGGGTCTTCAGGCTTGTTGACAAGTGTCTTGCTGAGTCATCTCACTGACCCTGAAACTGGCCTTTTTTGAGAAAACAAAAATAAATGCAGACAAATAGCCACCTCAGAGACAACTAAAACAGAGTAACCTGGCTGGGTAGAAGATTGGCACAACTTTGAACAAACCTTTCCCAAGAGTTTCTGGTTGCAGAAACTTGCTAATCTTGTTTATGTTCTGAGCTTAAAATGGGAGTGGGGAGGGTCTGGAAATGGGCTCAGCCAGTAAGAGGCCTGGCTGCTCTGGCAGAGGACCTGGATTGGGCTCCCAGCACCTTCATGGTGGTTCATAACTGTCCATAATTCCAGTTCCAAGGGATCCAGACACACGTTTACATACCTACACACAGCCATGAACACATACGCATAAACAAGCTGGAGGGGGCTTTAATATATTTCTTTTTAATTTTTGGACTCCATAACTGAGTATAAACAGTATAAACCTAACATCAGAAGGAAAAAATTGAATCCAGGTAGTGTTTGAACACAGGACTGACCTCTTTTGATCTCAATATAAAATGAACTGGGGAAGAAAGGCTTGAACTCTGCAGGGAACATGGTAGCAGTGAAAGACCCCCAGAGGCTCAGGCCCCCAGGATCTCAGCCCAGGACCACAACAACCCCAATCACCATGTGGAGGCGCAAGCTTGATGCAAACAGCAAGAGGCTTTATTTCAGTTGTTTAACGAGCTACCCCATATTAGATCCGGCCTTTCATCCATCCACCATGGTGGATGGCTAGGAAAGACGCCTCGAAGCCACGGCATAGAGATCTTATAGGGCAGCGTAAGGGGAGTGTCTAGGGGTACACACAGGCTCAGGATTGGTGTACCTCCAGGCTTGGAGGGTTTGTCCTGTGTTGATTGGTCACCTGGTTGTTATGGCCCATAGGCCCTCCCAGGGCGGTTGCTATGCTCTGCACGTCATTGCTGTGCACTTGTCTGTAAAGCATACCCAGAGCCGTAAAGCATAGCACCACCAGCTAGCTTATGATCGGTTCCTTGCCACGAGGCAGGCATCTGACCTCCTGGTGATCAAGACAAGGTCAGGCAAGCGCGTGCTAGGGTGTTATGGCTGCTGAAATGGGGAGCTGATCCCTTCAGCAGTATAGTCCTGAAGCCATCTTACCTGTTTTGTCACATTGAGAAGATGAGTGTGGTAGTTTGAATGAGAATGGCCACTATGGTGGCTCATATGTTTGAAAGATTGGTCCCAGTTAGTAAAACCGTTTGGGAAGGATTAGGAAGCGTGACCTTGGGCTGGAGAGATGGCTCAGAGGTTAAGAGCACTGACTGTTTTTCCAGAGGTCCTGAGTTCAATTCCCAGCAACCACATGGTAGCTCACAACCATCTGTAATGAGATCTGGTACCCTCTTCTGGTATGCAGGCATACATACTTGAGGAAAACTGTATGCATAATAAATAAATAAATCTTTTTAAAAAAGGAAGTGTGACCTTATTGGAGGAGGTGTGTCACTGGGAGTGGCCTTTGAGGTTTCAATAGCCCATACCAGGCCCACTGTCTTTCTGCCTGCCTGCCTGCCTGCCCATAAAAGAACTCTCTCTCTCTCTCTCTCTCTCTCTCTCTCTCTCTCTCTCTCTCTCTCTCTCAGTTCTCAGCTACTGCTCTAGCACCATGCATGTCTATTTCCAACCATGATGGTCCTAGACTGGCCCTCTAAAACTGTAAGCAAGCTCCCAATTGAATGTTTTCATTTATAGAGTTGTCATGGTCATGGCAAGTGGGTGGGATGAGGGGTGTCAGTGTGGGACATGGGAGGATGGGAGGGAAAAGGATCTAGGATTGATATGTAAAATAAGATTGTTTCTAATTTAAATAAAAAATATTTTTAAAATGGAAAAAAGGAACAGTAAACAAGATTTATTGATATTTTAGGAGCTAGACTTTTTACTCTGAGAGACAGAAAATAAGTACTAAGGGCTGGGCTTGGAGTTCAGTTGGTAGAGTGCTTGCCTAGCATACCAAAGCCCTGGCTTCCACCCCCAGCACCCTATAACCCAGCACTTGAGAGATAGAATAGAGGTTTGGAAGTTCACGATCATCCTTGCCTGCATAGTGTGTTATAAAGGCAAGCTGGTCAGAAAAGAAGGGAGGAGATAAGGAAGGGGCAGTGGAAAAGTGTCTGGCGTTCTGTTGGGACTAGTGGCATCAATATGAACCCATGATTAAAAGATGTAAGCACACTTGCATGCATGAATATGCACATGCTTGCACATGCACATACTGAATACATACATACATACAATTCCTAGCTCTGGCTGGTGAAAACCTGGAAGTGTGGCCTTTTCTAAATGGCCGATTCTAGAGCTGGCATGGGAAAGCTACAGGGTGAGCCTTGAACTTTGTGCTACAAAGTCAGAAAGTGTTGAAGACAATGCTGGGGAATTTCAAAAGGTTATAGCTTGAAAGTCTCCCAATGGCCCAGTCTAGAGGAACTCAAGCACCAAAATGAATGACACCCCATCAAAAGAGAAAGGAAGA